AATGTCGTAGTGAATACCATAACATAGAGAAAGGCATATACTACGAAAACAGACATACACGCATGGCAAGGATCTAAACACTGAAAAATGTCGTAGTGAATACCATAACATAGAGAAAGGCATACACTATGAAAACAAACATACACGCATGGCGAGGATCTAAACACTGAAAAATGCGTTTATTAAGTGAAGGCCAAAACATAGGAAGGAGTAAATACAAGACAAAAAAAAGTATTTTTACAACGAGTAGTAAAACACATACACACAAAAAATTGTCAAATGAACATTGACATGTAGTACTTAAGCACTAAAAACGGATGTATGAAATAAAATACTCATTATTGTAAAGTATCCAGGAATTAATCGTACATACTAACCTCCATGAGAGACAGTATTATCGTATTTTAGTAGTGTGTATAATATGTGACAGACCATCTCTAACGTACTGATTAAATTATATTTTTAGTAGTGTGTATAATATGTGACAGACCATCTCTAACGTACTGATTAAATTATATTTTTGTAGTATGTATAATATGTGACAGACCATCTCTAACGTACTGATTAAATTATATTTTAGTAGTGTGTATAATATGTGACAGACCATCTGTAACGTACTGATTAAATTATACTTTAGTAGTGTGTATAATATGTGACAGACCATCTCTAACGTACTGATTAAATTATATTTTAGTAGTGTGTATAACATGTGACAGACCATCTGTAACGTACTGATTAAATTATTTGTTGGAGAACAAAGATTTACATTTTTATTATTCTACGTACACAAATGTTGATTACATAAACAATATACGATTTTGTATTCGTTTGCGTGATATAATCTTAGTAATGAATACAAATAAACCGTTCTTGTTGTTTGTTGAATTGTTCACGCAAATATACAGGTAAATAATCACGATGTAAATTTCAAAACATTAGCAATTTACCGACCTCGGAATGACAGATCAACTGTTTAAATAACTACGTAACAAATATTACAGCCACACAGTCATTTGTTTTGATGAGAAGTTTTAGTTAGTTTGTTGTTATGCACAAAGCTACACAATGGGCTATCTGTGCTACGCTCACCATGGGTAGCGAAACCTGGTTATTAGCGTTACAAGCCTGCCGCCTGCACCACTGCTAGAATACAAGATTGTCTTGTGATTACAGAATCACTTCAGTTGGTCACATGTGTTACGGAACAAATTAATATGATATTTCATCCTGGCAGCAATCACCTCACATACAGACTAATTTTAGTCTAATCATCAAGATCATCTTAATGAAAAAATATAATACCCGCTAGTATTAACACTAGTTTGTTCGAATCACAGGGTTCTATTTAACCACACTAACAACTGTAAAAATTACCTCAGGAAGTATCTGATATCTTATAATATAGAAAGATTCTTCAAAACAAATATTTGCTATACAACCCTATATACCTTAATAAATACGGGGAACTGGTCAGTTTCATTCTGAATAGAACGGAAATAAAACGTATCTAATACGGAGAAATGGCTGAAAATCTTCAAGAATTAACATACTTTATTTGTTAGTATTTCGGGACAAACATGAAAATATTATGAGACAAAATTCCTTTTAAAAAACAACAACTTATTATACACGGTAATCATAAAAATGAGACTGTTCCCAGTTTCAAAATTGCAATAAAACGCTGAATAACTTACTGCACAGGATAAAAAATCCGATGAGACGCAGTAGGACGTTTCCAGTCTCATTTTTATGATTATTGTGTATAATAAATCGTTATTTAAAAAAAAAACTAATTTCGACTTTGAGTATTTACAAAAGTACCGTCCGAATGTGAAAGATAATACTATTTTGGAACGACGCCGTACTCAAAGCATGCTTCAGAATGACTTGCGGACCTTACGCACACGATTCTTTATGTTCAGAAATGGAAATTAAGTTATTAAATCAATTGATACTCACACAAGAATTGTAAATTAGAACAAATAATTTTCCAGGATCTCCACACACACACGCACACATAAAAAAAATGTTGGTTAACACTGTTTCTTAAGTGTTTTAAGTAAACCTATAGAAAAATATTCGTTATAATATTAGACAACTCTCTCTGAATTATCATAACTTCAACAAACATTTCAAAATTAAAGCGAAAAGTCTTGTTGCAACGAACAACTTGGATGTCTACGATGCACTTACATGCAATATATAGTAAATCTTATTATAATCAAGCAATCGCGTGGACGTATATATCTATCCATCTATGAGTGTGACCGAAATAATAAATACAATGGTTCCATCTGATGTGCAAAAATGTAACAAGATCTCAATGCCAGAAATGCTGATTCAAGCTTAGAAAAAGTGGCGCCATCTATTGAATAGCACCACAAACAAAAACCTATAAAAATTTCACACTTTAGGCACTCAAGATTCAGACAATGAGAAAAATAATTATGGTATATGCAACAACCATTTCTTTATAACAGAACATAATTTTAAATAAAAGTACCGTCCTCGCAACAATAACACGACTTTCACAAGGACTGTACGTGAGGGATTATATCTTTATTGATGTAATTTTAAAATGTGGTACTAACAAATAGAGTTCTTAAAAACCTTATTATTTTTTTAATAAAGGGTAGCACTCTTAATATATAAAAACACTACCGGTTATATCAGTATTTATAAAAATCTTGAGCTCAGTACATTGAATCATTATGATGCAATGAGTTGCGTATGACTAAAGAGCACAATCCGAAGACTTTTCCCGTGCAGTACCTCTCAGAAAAAACAACACTTTATTTTTAGAAATGTACATAAATTATACTGTTAAATATGTATTGCAAAACTTCCGCCTGTTCTCTAAAGTTGTAGAAGATTCTTGAATGTAAGAATCAACAATATATGTGTGTGTACGTAAACGCTAATGTAGCTTTGTACTGTTACATTATCTTAATTTTCGAGAAACTCTCCACACGCCTATAAATATAACCAACGCAAAGCTATAACTGTCATTGTTATAACACTTATTAATCGGAAAACTTAAGATATTTGACCAGGAACATTTATAAATTTCGAACATTTCAAACCATCGGACATTAGTATTTTACGAAAATATTACCTAACGTCATCGGTGGAAACTAGACCTGTAATCGGCGTATGATCAGCGAAAACTACAGGGCTAACTCCCTGTTAAGTGAATTGTACCTACGTCAACTCGAAATTAAATCACTCATCGTCAACCCTCGATAAGATATCAGGGAAGTTCTAGATTAGAAAGAAGACTTTATATTGCTTGTAAGTTTGTAAAACTTTTGTATATAAACCATTGTTTGTAATAACTATTTGTAATAACAGTTATTGTAAATTGTATTGTTGTTTATATATTAAAACATATTTGTATTAAAAAAGAAAATTGTGTGTATCAATCTTGTTGGCAAATATCAGAAACTGGTGATATATCGGCATTTATTTAACTACTAAATCCAAAGTACAACTTAACTCAGTTTTCGGCTATTCGAAATTGTAATACGTAACGATCGTCACGATACCTTTGAAACAACCAGATAAAGAACTATGTAGTCCTAGCAAAGACAAGTATCGTCATCGATTTACATTTTTAATTACAGAGAAACTGAAACATAATATCTGCTGACCATTCTTTACTAATTTGTCATAAGTACTTTTATAGCTTTCAATCGACAGGTGGCAAACAATGAGAATCGAAAGTTTCTGACTGAATTAGGTATGGGTTCTATAAATAAGACAATGAAATAGGATATTTGCAAATTAAGTGTCATGTGATGGGTTGTTATGATAATACAAATGGGCTTAAAGGGCGAGCATGTTTGGTGGGACGAGGATTCGAACGCACGACCCACGGATTGCCACTCAAGCAAGCAAAGTGTGGAATCAAATGTACATCATAGACAATTTTTATAATTTTCGGGGCATAAGAGCAGAAACGTCAGGGCTTAAGCCCACCCAATCACCCCCCTGTGTACGTCACTGGTTGTTGGAGTGCGAGTATGTACTAGAAGGCACAAAACACAAATTGTTAGTGTAGAAAGATGTGGTGGGACACAAAAGTTGTTGGATGTGCTGGATGAAACAAAAACAAATATTTTACAACGTGAAGGTGTGCTTTATATGCCATTTTTTATGAAATATCAACGTAAATTTCGTAAAATATGAAGATTTTATGTTTTTATCAAATGTGCTTGTATGTCTTTACTTTAAAGAAAATTAAACAACGTTATTTTGTACTTGTTGATCATTTCATTTCTTATCGTTCTCAACATTCTTATATTTACATTTTACAAACAGAATTTCACAAGTCTTGTATTCCTAGCTTACTGTTGGCCTTGGAACCTAAACTTATGTAACAAATGAAAGTCAATTTGTATTTGCACATTATCTTATAAACCTTTCTTTTGGATAGTAGATCATTATGTGACAATAATAATGACTTACAAATCAATTGTTGCACGAGGAAATTACTTTAACTGGTACTTATTTGATTGATGCTTTCTCAACATGATGAAAGCGTGAGGTCGAAGTGCAAATTAAAATTACTTCCTTAAAGTTCTTGTAGTTGAGTATTTTATACAGAGAACAGTAAACATCTTCGCTTTGGGTTTTGTTCTGTTCTCATCAGCTGGCAAAAATCTTCATTCATCAGTATAGTTGGTATTCAGAAATTATTTTAACCAATTCATTAACATTTATTTCTGAATATCCCTAATAACACATGTAACCATTTTGCTATCATACATTTCAAAAGACTGAGGTACTGCAATCCGATAAATTAAAATAAAAACAAGAAGCAATAGCCAGAGTTGATTGAAGTGTGTAGAAGATAGAAGGTTTTGACAAAGTTTAGGGTGTGCCAACCCGAGCGTTTCGCTCAGAGAAGTTTTTTATTTTTCTTTTATTGTAAGAGACCAAAGAGGTTGATGGATTACATACAAGAAAAAACACTTACCAATAGTGTTTGGCACAGCATTCCACTGGAAGTCAAAGTCTGTAGAACTACCCTCCGATAATTTTTGGAAATGAGTTGTATCTGAAGCGAAAGAAAAAAAGGGGTTGTCTACGAAAACATTGTTATATTTGGGTAACATAAAATCATTGTATGTGTAATCGCTCTGACCAATACTAACAGGAAGTAAATCAATAAGTAGATTGACTGAATGTTAGTAACTAATAAAAGTCTTTTTGTTATTGTAATTTTATTCGTGTTTCCAAGGGATATAACAAAAGAACACCGACGTAAGTCTACAACAATTATTTTTCTATGGTTATAATACGACGTCAGTTATCAAAACGTTTATGGATTAATCTAGGAGCTATATTTATAAGATAGATGCTAATTTAATCATTATTTTAATATTAAAATATCAATAATCAAAAACACATTCTTTAATACTCTGATAAAGAAGATTATAGTTGTGTTAAAAAAAAATGTGACTTCTAGCATTATACGCGTAAAATTAGTATAAATTATTAACAGGACTTCTTGTTTGTTTGTTTGTAATTAAGCACAAAGCTAGATCTGCCCACCACGGGTATCGAAACCCGTATTCTAGCAGACATACCGCTGTGCCACTGGGGGACAAGACTTCTTGTTTCTGAGAAGATACGGTAAGTAACGCAGTTCTATAAACTACGTTGTCATTATTTTTGATTTTATTTAAGGATATTATTCTCTTTTTCTTTACAAGTATATTGTTGATAAATTATACGATAAAGTATTTCTAGTGTTGAACTGCGAGATTTTCCAAATATAAAAACTTTTTGTTAAAATTGAAACCATTAATGTACGGTAAATATATATATATACGATTTTAATTATCAAATGTTTTTATAAAGTATCTATCAATACAAGTAAGTAGTTATTTTCTTGTAGTACATATCGTTTCTAAATGCATGGTACATATTATAAATTAGTTCATTTCTTTTGTTTGATCCAGAAATTAGCGCAGAGCTACACATAGGGCTATCTGCGTTTAGCCGTCTCTAATTTCGTAACTGATAGTCAACTCTTGGGCTACGTGTCTGAATGAATAGTGGGATTTTACCAACACCTTTATAACTCACCTGCGCCCCAAAGCGTGGAATACATTTTTGCAACAACGTGCCGCGAAGCATGAATCCTCGGATTCATAGGCCGAGCTGTAACCATTAAGCCACTCCTATTTCACTGTATTACAAATAATTTGTTAATACATAATAATCTATATCAAAAACAAGTAATATATATTTACTTATACTGCATATAATTTCTGAAACTATAAAAAGATATAAAACTATCCTATTGACTTATTGTACAATTTATTAATATGTGGAACGTCAGCTATTAAGCAGGTTTCCAGAATGCTGATACATAAATGAATAGGCCTACACACTAAAGTAAGGTACCAAATGTTACCCTAAGCTATGCTTCACCAATGAATTGATAGAACATTGTTTTTCTCCATTGTTACACAAAACAACGTTATAGGAGACTTTTAAATTATAGTTTTATTGTTCTTTTCCGCAATCACTGTGGGAACATTTAGCTATTTTACTACAAACAAAAACCCAGCTTTCGATACTGTATCGAAATAAAGCGTCAAACGTTC